TTTTTTTTTATTTTTTATTTTTTTTTGCTTTTTGGGTCACACCCGGCGATGTTCAGGGGTTACTCCTGGCTCATGCACTCAGGAATTACTCCTGGCGGTGCTCGGGGGACCATATGGGATGCTGGGAATCGAACCTGGATCGGCCATGCTGGCTGCGTGTAAGGCAAACACCCTACCCGCTGTGCTATTGCTCCAGCCCCTCCCCTGACTCTTGAAGGCGTCACCAATATGGTAGCGTTGAGAAGGAGGTCCAAATAAATGTTTTAATAAAATTAAAATTACATTAAAACTTGTTTTCCTGGCTGGGATTTCACTCAGTGGTACATAAAGCAGATGTCTTAAATGTACAAGAGCTGGCTTTAATCCTGGCACTGCAAAAATAAGCAAACCTGTTTTTCTGGGCTGGGACTATCTTAGGGATCACTTAACATCAGCACACATAAATTATCTTTTTCTTTTCTTTGGGGAAAGGCACTCCAGAACTACTCCTAGTTCAGTGCTCAGGACTGAACACGAGGCTCTCACAGGCAAAGCATGAGCTCCAGTCCAGTTCTCCGGCCCTTTAAACCCCTTTTTAAGGAAACGCTCTTATTTTCTGATTATAAATAGTGTTGTACTAAACTTCCTATACGTAGAACTGAGCAAAATTTCAAAATATAAGTTTTGGGTTTTTGTTTTGTTCTGGGGCCACACCTGCCAGTGCTTAGGGATTATTCCTGACTCTGCACTTATGAATTTCTCTTGCTGGGCTCAAGGGACCATATGGGATGCTGGGATAGAACCCTGGTCGGCTAGTGCAAGGTAATCACTCTGGATCGATAAAATATATGTTTTGGGACACAGAGATAGTACAGGGATTAAGACATTTGCCTTGCACGCAGCTGACCTTAATTTCTTCCCCAGCAACATATTCAGTTACCCCAGCACTGCCAGGAGTGACCCCTGAGCAAAGAGTCAGGAATAAGCACTTGAACACTGCCAAGTATGGTCCCAAACCAACAATATCCTCCCCCTCCACTGTAACACTGTAGCACTGTCCTCCCTGGCTCATCGATTTGCTCGAGCGGGCCCAGTAATGTCTTCATAGTGAGACTTGTTACTGTGTTTGGCATATCGAATACATCACAGGTAGCTTGCCAGGCTTTGCCATGCGGGCAAGATACTCTTGGTAGCTTGCCGGACTCTCCGAGAGGGGCGGAGGAAATGAGCTCAGGTTGGACAGGTCGGCTGCATGCAAGGCAAACGCCCTACCCGCTTGCTATCTCTCCAGCCCAAGCTCTCCCCCTCCAAAAAAATAAAAATAAACAACATGTTTTGGTAAGTGAAATAAAGGTCAGAAGGAAAAAGTCAAATACCAGATGATCATGTTTGTAGTGGAGTATAAGGAAACAAGTCGCACGTCCTTGTGGCTCAGAGCCAAGGCGTGTGTCTGAGACCTTGGTTGGGTCTCCAGCAGAGAGAGGAGAGAAGGGGAAAGAGCGGGGAGCAGGTGTGTGTGGGTGGGTGCAGATTATCCATGGAAATGAACCCTATGGTACTTCCAACAGATCTGAGATCTAAGACTGCCAAGTGGTGGGATGCTGGGAGCAGGCAGGAGGGACCTTGGGGTAGTGGGTCTGGGCCATGTTGCCCCTCCCGTGGTGGGTGTGGCACAGGAGCACTTTAGCATAGAACAATAGTTTTGGGGATTTTTTATTTTTGTTTTTGAGTCACACCCAGCTGTGCTCAGGCCTTACTGCTAGCTCTGCACTCAGGGATCATTCCTGGAGGTGCTCAGGGGACCCTGTGGGGTGCTGGGGATTGAAACCAAGTCGACTATGTGCAAGGCAAACACCTTACCTCTTCAGTCCCAACAAAAAGATTTATTTAGGAGTTCTAGTTTGCTCTTTATATATATGAATACATTATACACACACATATGTATATATAATGACAGCTTGTATTGATTACAGGCATAATGGTCTTTGCAGAAAGAAAAAGCAGATCTCATTATGCTATTCATTCATGGGTGTTTCTAACTTTCTTTTTTTTTCTTTCTTTTTTTTTCTTTTTGGGTCACACCCTGCGATCCACAGGGGTTACTCCTGGCTCTGTGCTCAGGAATTACTCCTGGCGGTGCTTGGGGGACCATATGGGATGCTGGGAATTGAACCTGAGTCGGCCACGTGCAAGGCAAACGCAGTACCTGCTGTACTATTGCTCCGGCCCACGTTTCTGACTTTCTTGCATTCACTGTCAGCCTAGATAAAATAAACTGGGGACTTTTTTATTTTTGGATTTTGGGCCACATCTGGCAGTGCACAGAGACCACTCCTGGTGGGGTTCAGGGGACCCTTCGAGGTGTCAGGGCTCGAACTCAGGTTGGCCACATGCAAAGCAAGTGCTCTACCCATGGTACTATTGCTCAGATCCTAACTTTTTTTTTTTTTAATAACAGGATCCTGCTCCTTTGCTCTGCAGCCACCAGTTTTCCTCAGCAAATAGCCATTTATCTCATATCTAGTTTACCATGTATCAACTGACTCATACCAGCCTCTTGGTGGATAATGCAGTTTCTTAAAGCACTTCCTCCTAGGGGTGACTATAATTTTCTTCAGTTTTGGCGGGGAGGGTAACACCTGACGATGTTCAAAGACTGTTAATAAACTGTTACTGTCTAGCTTTGTACTCAAGGATCACTCCTGGAGAGGTCACGGGACTAAATGTGGTGCTGGGATCAAACTCCGGTCGGCCACATGACATGCAAGTGTCCTCCCAGCTGTAACAACTTTCCAACCCGTTGTTGTTGTTGTTGTTGTTGTTCTTCTTCTTCTTCTTCTTCTTCTTCGGAGTTAAAAAAAAGAGAGAGAGACTATTTATTTAAAAAATTTTTATTTGGGGGCCACACCCATCTGTACTCAGGACTTACTCTTTTTTATTTATTTATTTTTTTTTGCTTTTTGGGTCACACCCAGCCAATGCTCAGAGGTTACTCCTGGCTCTGCACTCAGGAATCACTCCTGGCAGAGCTTGGGGGACCATATGGGATGCTGGGAATCGAACCCGGCTTGGCCGCGTGCCAGGCAAACGCCCTACCCGCTGTGCTATTGCTCCAGCCCCAGGACTTACTCTTGACTATGTGCTCAGGGATCACTTTGAGAAGGCCTGGGGGACCATATGGGGTGCTGGGAAATGAACCCTGGTTGGTTGCTCGCAAGACAAATGCCCTACCTGCTATACTATTTCTTTGGTCTGATTATTCATTCTTAATTTCTTTTTTAAAATTTGTTTATTCTTATTCTAATTTAGGGAATAGAGCTGCAATAGTGTTCTAGTTTCTGGTACCGATACACCAAGTTACTGGCCACCCCCGCCTCTGAAGTGCCCGTGACACCCCATCATCCTTGTGCTGTCTCTCGACCACGTTTTTCCCCTATCCCAGACATTCCCCTCATTATTTGCTGATTACCAGTTATGGGTTTTAAAACAACTAGTTTTTTTTTAAACAACTAGTTTTTAGTTTTTTTTTTAAAACAACTAGGTTTTGTCAACTAGCAATGCTCAAGTTGACTCCTAGCTCTGCACTCAAGAAATACCACTAGCTGTGCTCAGGGAGCACTCCTGGCAGTGCTCAGGGGACCTTATGAGGTGCCAATGATTGAATCCAGATCAGCTGTATGCAAAGCGAACACCCTGTCCTCTGTCCTATTGCTCCAACCCCTCCTCTAAGCACTCTGGATGCGGCCCCACAAGCCCCCAAGGAACACCAGATGGATCTAGTCAATTCTTGCAGGGCCCACTGAGCGCTCTCAGGGAACAGGCTAAAGAAGTGGGTTAAAGAAGAGAAATGAGGGGCTGGAGATATACTATAGCAGGTAAAGCGTTTCCTTTGTATGCAACCAACCTGGGTTCCCCCAAGCACTGCTGGGAGTAATTTCTGAATGCAGAGCCAGAAGTAATCTCTGAACATTTCTGAACATTGCCAAGTGTGCACCCTCCCCCCCCCAAAAAAAACAAAACAAACCCCAAAACAACAACAAAAAAATGAAGAAAAAAATGACCCTGCAGGTTTACATTGGCCCAGAAGGCAGCCTGTGCCTCACAGTCCCTATGCTGTGGAATTCCTGAGATGGCTTTCACACCTCGGGAATACACACCTCCACCCAGCACCCAGACGCACAGCAGCTTTCTCTGAGCAATCGCAGGGCTGTTCTCCTGCTCAAGACCTCCCTGAGGTTCTCTTACATTTTCCCCAGATATCTGAGACATGGAGCCGAAGGGATAGACAGCAGTCAGTGAGGCATTTGTCTAGCTCGCAGCCAACCCAGGTTTGACCCCCAGGACCCCTTCTGGCTCCCTCAGCCCTGCCAGGGCTGATTCCTGAGTGAAGAGCTAGAAGTAACCCCTGAGCATTGCCAGATGTGCTCCCCCCCAAAAAAAAAAATCCAAGTCACTAGGTTTTTGGTTGCATCCCCTGCTCTATGTGGGAGCACCTGCTTCCCCACACCCTGGCCAGAGCGGGGGTGGAGGGGAAGTGACCACTCACTTTCCATCTCAGCCTTTTCCTGGGGCCGGAGAGATAGTCCAGCAGGAAGGCATGGGCCCAGGCTTGAGCCCTGAGCCTGCCAGAAGTGATCCCTGAGCACAGAGCCAAGGAGTAAGCCCAGAGCACCGCTGGGTGTGCCCCCCAAACAAAACCATAAATTAACAGGGGTGGGGCGGGAACCTACTTCTGTCCATGTCAGACTTTTTGTTACAAGTGAAGTGGAGTGTTGGCTCCATTGACTCCATTTCTCCTGGGGTTCGTAGTGAAGGCCTGTCATGTGTGTCCCCCACCCCGGAAAGTGCCCCATGGGAGGGCAAACAGGCCCCCAAGCAAGCGCTGCTGGCCACATGTCTCTCACAGGCTCTGTCTCCATGAGATGGGAGGGAGACGTTGCAGGGTGGTGGGGCACAAGGAGTCTGGACTGTTTGACCCATAATCCCTCATCTGACTGTCACATCCCTTTTGTCTTCTGCAGGAAGCCTGGAAGCATGCAATCGAGAAGGCCAAGCACATGCCGGATCCCTGGGCTGAGTTCCATTTGGAGGACATTCCCACGGAAAATGCCAAGCGTCACAGGTCAGCAGAGGGACGGGCAGAGGGAGAGAATGGGGTGCTGCATGGCCCCCCCAGCTTTCATGAATTCTCAGGGTATGGGCCTGCTTCTGCTCACAATCAGTGAGACCTAAGAATGCTGAGGAGATGGATGCCAAGGTGGTCCAGGAAAAGGGAACTGTCATCATTATCATCATCACCACCACCATCACAATCATCATCATCATCACCACCATCGCCATCATCATCACCATCACCACCATCACCAACACCATCACCAACACCATCATCTTTATTATCACCACCACCACCATTACCGTTATCACCATCATTATCACCATTACCATCACCATTATCATCATCATTGTCACCACCACCATCACCATCACCATTATTATCATCATCACCATAACCATCATCACCATCACCATCATCATCACCATCATCATCATTATCACCACCACCATCACCATCATCATCACCATCTCCACCATCACCATCACTACCATTTCAACCATATCCAAGCGGGCGTGCAGGTGTGCTGGTTCTCCTATGTCCTTACAAGGTTTTTTGTCTGAGAGGCAACCTGCAGCACAGACCCCCAGGGCCAGGGTGAACAAGTCCCTCCTGCATGGATTAGAAGACAGAAATAAGAGAGCAAATCATGGGATCTTGGGGCTCATGGCCTCCAAGACTGAGCGCCCCCACCGTCCTCTCCACGTACAATGTTTATTAGAGCTAGTGATCATCAGAAGGGGAACAACACCCTTTTTTGGAATGGGGAGGAAAACCCAGAGATGCTCAGGGATTACTCCTGACTCTGCACTCAGGGATCACTCCTGGAGGTGCTCTGGGGACCATATGGGATTCCAGGAATCAAACCTGGGTCAGTCACATGCAAGGCAAAGGCCATCCCCACTGTGCTATCGCTCCAGGCCTGCCCTCCCTTTTTTTAAGTGTCCCACTTACTGGACAAAACAGGGTGTGATGATTAAGTAGTGAAATACAGCAGCTGTGATGAAGAAAGAGGAGGGTGGCTGGGGCCTGGTAGAGGAGAGTTTGGGCCAGTCAGGTCCAGCAGGGCTTCACCCGGGGCAGCAGGGAGCCCAGGACCTTTAGCACATTTTTCACCTTTAGCAGGTGAGTGATGCGGTTTTGTTATGGATGCGGCCCCTGGTGGCTTCTGGTCTTTGCAGGTACAATGCAGTGACTGGGGAGTGGCTGGAAGATGAAGTTCTGATCAAGATGGCAGCTCAGGTGAGCAGAACCTCGGCCCAGGCTGCGAGCTGGGGAGTGTCCCAGCTCCTGCGCACTCCTGGCCTCAGCCACTTTTTTTTAACAACACTGGGGAAGTCTTATAAGTAGTGTGTGTGTATCTGTGTGTCTGTGTGTCTGTGTGTCTGTGTATGTGTCTGTGTGTGTGAGTGTGTCTCTGTGTGTGTATGTCTCTGTATGTGTGTGTGTATGAGTGTGTGTATGTGTGTGAGTGTGTGTGTCTTTGAGTGTGTGTCTCTGTGTGTGCGTGTATATGTGTGTGTGTGTAGGTGTGCGTGTATGTGTGTATGTGTGAGTGTGTGAGTGTGTGTGAGCGTGTGTTGTTTTGTTGTAACAGCCATACTAAAATTGTCATAGGCCACATAGCCAACCCAGGTAAAGTGGAAGGTTGAGTGGCTTTCAGTAGAGTCACTTGGGGTTATGTGACTGTGTCTGCAGTGGGTCTCAGAACAATTTTCACTGGCTCCAAAGGAAGCCCCGAGGGATAGTCTCACTAGTCTGACTTCGGTTCTCCCTCCCGCCCCTCCAGCAGCCACCTTTCCCCCACATCCCTGAACAGTCAGAGTTCTCCTGGCTGGCTCTATAGCTTTACCTATTCTGGTCTGTTTGTTGATTGCCTACACTTTAGCACTGTAGCACTGTCCTCCCATTGTTCGTCAATTTGCTCAAGCGAGCACCAGTAAGGTCTCACAACAAATTGTGAGACTTGTTACTGTTTTTGGCATACCGAATGCGTCATGGTGAGCTTGCCAGGCTTTGCCATGTAGGCTAGATACTCTCGGTAGCTTGCCAGGCTCTCTGAGAGGGGTGGACGAATCGAACTCGGATCGGACACGTACAAGGCAAGTGCCCTACCCACTGTGCTATCGCTCCAGTCCCTTTAAAAAAAAAAAAAGATTTTTCTAAGTGATCTAGTGAGAAACAAAAACAAAAAACAGTTGACTGTAAGATCTAGAGAGATAGTACAGCAGGTAAAATATTTGCTTTGCAGCTGACCTGGGTTCAATCCCGAGCACCCCATATGGTCCCCTGAGCACTGCCAGGAGTGATTCTAGAGCGCAGAGCCAGGAGTAAGCCTTGAGCTCCACCAAGTGTAGCCCAAGATTTTTAAAAAATCTTTTGACTTTAAATTTGTATAATCATTTCAAAAACTGCCATTCCCCAGGGATCTCTGAGTCACTCGATTCTCGATTCGTTTCACCTTGCTTTTGGACTATAGCTAAGCATTGCTGTCCGTATCCTCCCGAGTGAGGCTTCTTTTGCTCAACACTTAGCCGTGAGGTCTATATGTGTTTTCTGTTTGGAAGCCTCTGCTCACTCCCTCACTGATGTATAGTGCGTCATCAGATGAGTTGGTGCAACTGATTCAACTCTTGGTGGACCTCTAGGTCATTTCTGCTTTTCTGGGTTACAGCCAAGGCTGCAAAAGCATCCCTGGACATGCTCTGTCTCCCTGTCACCCTTCTTCGTCCCCAGAACATCTTTGCTCTCCAGGGGTGCTTTTGTTCAATCAGGGTGGGGAGATGGGGGTGGTCTTGTCACCCCTGCAGCCTCCTGGCTGGAAGCTCCACGATTGGGTGCTAGGGGATAGGGCTTTTAGGATGAAGTCCAGGGTGAATCCAGGGTGGAGGCAGGGGAATCTCCTGTCTCAGGGCTGTTGCTGGTGGTCACCGGAAATGCCGATCTGATGGTGGGCCCCAGAAATGCTGACCTGTTGGCTGGTGTCTTTCAGCCCTTCGGCCGTGGAGCTATGCGGGAGTGTTTCCGGACGTGAGTGATTCAGCCTGGCTCAGGGGCCCCACCGATACTCCTGAGAGAGGAGACATGGGGATATTTCTGGCCAAGAAATGATATCCAGGGTCCTCTGCACCTGATGTCCTTCTCCATCTGACCATCCTTGGGCCCCACTTTTGGTCTTGGCCGGGGGAATGGCCTGGGGAGGGGAAGCGGGTGTACCCACACATTTCTGCTCTGGAATTTGGAGACCAAGGGATATGGGACATTTTTGTGCTGACCCTAAGCCCCTTCCCACTCTGTAAAGGATGCCATGGTGATGGGAATGCTCTAACCAGCTGGGTCAGGCAGGCTCCTCCTGTCCCAAGGACCCAGGGATGAGTCCTAAATGAACTCAGATAGGTCCCTCCTGCCTCTCCCAACTCCCAGGAAGAAGCTTTCTAACTTCCTGCACACCCAGCAGTGGAAAGGGGCATCCAACTACGTGGCCAAGCGCTACATCGAGTCTGTGGACAGGGACGTGTACTTTGAGGACGTGCGGCTGCAGATGGAGGCCAAGCTCTGGGGAGAGGAGTACAATCGGCACAAGCCCCCCAAACAGGTGGGGGCACCCCTCCCAACCCCGCCCCCCCAAGGCAGCTGGGGACAGTGTCCGGAGATGCCCATGAGAGTATAAATAATGTGGTCACCATGTAAATCAGTGTTACTTTGGTAAAACAGAGTAAAGTAGTAGAGGCCCTCCCGTTGATCATCGATTTGCTCGAGCGGGCCCGTAACGTCTCCATTGGAGACTTTGTTGTTACTGTGTTTGGCATATCGAATACTCTCGGTAGCTTGCCGGGCTCTCCGAGAGGGGCGGAGGAATCGAACTCGGGTCGGCCATGTTGGCTGCGTGCAAGGCAGACGCCCTACCCGCTGTGCTACCGCTCCAGCCCTTTGGTAAACAAACAAACAAAAAACTATTTTAAAACATGGGATCTGAGGAGATAGCTCCAAGGGCTGGAGAACAGGTTACTGTTGAGTCCCAGGTTTGGCCCCTGGGACCTCATGGTTCCCAAGTAACATGAGGAGCAGCCCCTCAGCATCTTACCAGCACTAGCATCATACTCTGTCATGTGTGACCCAAACGGTCCTGTCCTGCCCACCCCCTTTTTTTTTGTTTTTAATTTTTTTTTTTAATTTTTGGGTCATACCCAGCGATGCACAGGGGTTACTCCTGGCTCTTCACACAGAAATTACTCCTGGAGGTGCTTGGGGTACCATATGGGATGCTGGGAATCGAATGTGGGTTGGCCGCGTGCAAGGCACATGCCCTACCCGCTGTGCTATCACTCCAGTCCCTGTTTTTAACTTAAAAAAAGAAAAAGGACGGAGCTGGAGCGATAACACAGTGGGTAAGGTGTTTGCCTTGCACGCGGCCAACCCGCGTTCAATTCCCAGCATCGCATATGGTCCGCTAAGCACCACCAGGGGTAATTTCTGAGTGCAGAGCCAGGAATAACCCCTGTGCATCGCCAGGTGTGGCCCAAAAAGCAAAAAAGAAAAGAAAACAGAGCAGGAATATGGACAGGGAACATGAACATCTTTAAAACATCAGCAAATAGGGACTGAGAGCTATAGAGCAGGGATTGAAGCACTTGCCTCACAAGTGGCCGACTCTGATTTAAGCCCCAGAACCACATAGGGTCTCCTAAGCTGGAAGTGATCTCTGAGCACAGAGCGAGGTGTGACCTGTGCCCCCCCAAACAAAAGATGATGTGGTGGAAAAGAGATGTGACTGCTGGGGGAAGGCCACTGTCCCCCCATGTCTTTGTGCCTACACCTGGTTTCTGGGTGGTCCTGCTATAGCCTCTTGGCCAAGGTACGGATGGGGGAAGTCTGAGAACCCCTGTCCCACCCAGTCAGGCTGATTCTCAAGCTGAAGTGGGCGGGGTTGGGGGTGGGGGATGGGGAGGGATGCCACCTTTGCCCTGGCCACATGTGTCTGGGGCACCATCAAGGGCAGGTAAGTGGCCGGATCCCCTGTTGCCTACGCAGCCTGGCTCCTCTCAGCCCCTGTGCCCAGGGTGGAGGGAGCTGTGGGATCCTGCCCTCCGCTGACTCGCACGGCCCCCAGGTGGACATCATGCAGATGTGCGTGGTGGAGCTGACGGGGAGGCCCGGCCGGCCCCTGTTCCACCTGGAGCATTACATCGAGGGCAAGTACATCAAGTACAACTCCAACTCGGGCTTTGTCCGCGACGACAACGTGCGCCTGACCCCACAGGTGAGGCCCCTGGGGAGGAGAGTCCCTGTGGGGAGGGGGCAGGGGAGTCTTACCCCCCTCCACCCAGCGGGCCCTCGGTGCCCCCCACCCTTGGCAGCCTCTGTCCACAGCCCTTCCTGCTCAGCTGATCCTTCCTTCCTGTCATCTTTGCCTCACTCAGCTTCTCCAGGCAGGTGGGGCAGCCAGCACCCTGCCTGGCCTCCTGCGCTCAGTTCGGCCTTCCTGTCCCCTCCCCCACCCCAGGCCTTCAGCCACTTCACGTTTGAACGCTCGGGCCATCAGCTGATCGTGGTGGACATCCAGGGTGTGGGCGACCTCTACACCGACCCGCAGATCCACACCGAGACGGGCACTGACTTCGGAGACGGCAACCTGGGTGGGTCTGTGGGGAAGCAGCTTGTTGTCGTGGAGACCAGGGGGCCACCTGCGCCCCAGTCCGTGAATGCCTGGGACACCTGCCCCTCCCCCACCCCATACCCTGGGCTGCCCTGCCCTCCTGCCCGTCGCCCAGCAAAGCCCCGCTGTGCCCACAGGTGTCCGGGGCATGGCGCTCTTCTTCCACTCTCACGCCTGCAACCGCATCTGCCAAAGCATGGGCCTGGCGCCCTTTGACCTGTCGCCCAGGGAGAGGGACGCGGTGAACCAGAGCACCGAGTTGCTGGTAGGTGTCATGTGAGCTGCTTTCGGCCTCCCTGCTGGGGCTCTGTCCCCTCTGGGCCCTCGTCCTCCTGGGTGCCCCCATGGAAAGTGAGGGACTGGCCCTGGGCGCATTGGTGACTGGAGTGAGGGAGCAAAGAGAGCCAGAGAGGAGTGTGGTGCCTGTTTACGTCGGGGTGTTGGGGTAGTGATGGCCGGTGCAGGCCTGGCCTGGCTTTCAGCACCTCAGTGTCCAGAATGTGACCTCACCCCCACCCCTTTGCACTGGCCCAGATACATTGATTGAGAAAAGACCAGCATGGGTTCTGGATACTTTATACACATAGTTCCCAGCTCAGGGCTGTCACAGTGGGGGGGCCTTGGGGGAATGCTGACTGGCAGCCTCCTGGAGCCCCCGTTCCAGAAGACCCTTCTTCTTTAGTGGGGGTGCAAAGCTCCCAAGAATTGCTTGGGCCCCTCCTAGAGATTCTTGGCCACCCAGGCCTGGTTCCGTGGAAGGCCCGAGGGCATGGAGCTGATCAGGTCCTGCAGTGCTGGGAACACCCAGGGCCACCCTTTGAAGGGGCTCAGGGGCTTCCAGGGCTATCCTGGGTGATGTTCTGGGCACCGTGCAGTGTCAGGGATTAACCCTGGGCTGGTGCCATCCATGACCTGAGCCTTCACCGTGACCCCTCTCTCCACAGATGTCCCTTCTTTGGGTTCATCTCCTCTGATTACTTTTATTTATTCATTTATTTGCTTATTCATTTTGTTTTGGGGCCACACCCAGCACTTACTCCTGGCTCTGAGCTAAGATATCACTTGTGGCAGAGCTCAGGGAACAATATGGGATGCCAGGGATTGAACCCAGGTCAGCCGAATGCAAAGCAAGCAACTTACCTACTGTACGATCTCTCCAGATCCCAGAGTCAACTGGCTTTACTAGGTCATTAAGAAAAGTCCCTCTTTTAAAAAGTGTTAACAGACCAATTAACAGACAGACCAGAGGAGGCAAATGCCTTACCCATTGTACTATCACTTCAGCCCCATTCCATGATTATATATAGACTTTCTGCCAGTCATGATATCAGAGCCTTCACTAAAAGGACACCAGTGGGGCTGGAGTGATAGCACAGCAGGTAGGGCGTTTGCCTTGCATGCAGCCAACCCAGGTTTGATTCCCAGCATCCCATATGGTCCCCCGAATACTACCAGGAATAATTCCTGAGTACAGAGCCAGGAGTAACCTCTGTGCATTGCCAGTGTGACCCAAAACGCAAAAAATAAATAAATAAAAAAGAAAAGAAAAAAAAGAAAAAAAGGACATCAGGGTTTGGGGGAGCAACAGACAACAAGAAGAGCCCCTCCTTCACCCAGACCATGCCGTGGTAACCATGTCCTCATTACTGTCCTCAGCAATCAGCAAAGACCATCTTGAGGGGGACCGAGGAAAAGTGTGGGAGCCCCCGCATCAGGACTCTCTCTGGGAGCCGGCCCCCACTGCTCGGGCGCCTTTCAGAGACCTCTGGAGACGAGAACTTGAGTGACGTGACCTTTGACTCTCTGCCTTCTTCCCCATCTGTGGCCACCCCCTACGGCCAGAAGCTGGACCAGCTCCGTGAGTGAGGGTTTGCTCCCCACCCCCATGCTGCCTTCAGAGGACAGGCACCAGGGAGAGCAGAGGAAACGTGCTTTCACCCTTGTTAGCAAACAAACAAAAACCCAGGAAGGTGTTCAAGACTCAGGTGGTGGGGCTGGAGCGACAGCACAGCAGGTAGGGCATTTGCCTTGCACGCAGTCAACCCGGGTTTGATTCCCAGCATCCTATATGGTTCCCTTAGCACTGCCAGGGAAATTTCTGAGTGCATGAGCCAGGAGTAACCCCTGTGCAATGCCAGGTGTGACCCCCCCCCCAAAAAAAAAGACTCAAACTTTAACAACCAAGTTTAAAATGATGCCTATCAAGATGGCAGGATGGGGATAGGAGGATGGGTGAGGGAACCTGAGAACACAGGTGGAGGGAAATGACACTGGTGACAGGACTGGTTCCTGGAACATGGTATGCCTAAAACTCAACAATAAAATGACTTTGTAAATCACGGTACTTTAATCCAATAAAATTTTAAATAAAATTTTAAAATATAAAAGGTAAAGGCCCTCCCGTTGATCATCAATTTGCTCGAGCGGGCCCAGTAACGTCTCCATTGGAGACTTTGTTGTTACTGTGTCTGGCATATCGAATACGTCACGGGGAGCTTGCCAGGCTCTGCCGTGCGGGCGAGATACTCTCGGTAGCTTGCCGGGCTCTCCGAGAGGGGCGGAGGAATCGAACTCGGGTCGGCCCGTGTTGGCTGCATGCAAGGCAAACGCCCTACCGCTGTGCTATCAAACTCATGATGGGACCAGAGTCGGTTGGGCACTGGCCTTGAGCGTGGCCAATGCAAGATCAATCCCCAGAACTGCATAGAGTCCCTCAAGCAACCGCCAGGCGTGATACCTGAGCACAAAACCAGAACTGATCCCTGAGTATACAGGCGTAGGAATAAGCTCTGAGCACTGCTGAGTGTGGCTCCCAAATCAAAAAATTTTTTAAAAAGCAAATGTCCATTTAGAGTTGCAAGCTGAGTCCTGGTCAAAGAACGTGAGCCTACTGAGAACATTCTTCTACCAGTTTTGCTTTTTCCTTTTTGGGTCATACCCGGTGATGCACAGGGGTTACTTCTGGCTTATGCACTCAGGAATTACCCCTGGTGGTGCTCGGGTGACCATATGGGATTCTGGGAATCGCACCCAGGTTGGCCATGTCTAAGGCAAACACCCTACCTGCTGTGCTGTCTCTCCAGTCCCTCCTCTACCAGTTTTGCATCTTTCTGTATAATTGACAGTGGGCAGAAGGCTCAGTGGCAGTTGTGGTCGGCTCTAGTCCACATGGGTTGGCAAGCCAGCCGCCCAACTGTCTGCCTTCTCTCCCTGCATAGACTGGCCTGCGTTCAGCGACCTGGATAACCTGGCACCCCATGACCAGGAGGACCTTGACAACCACCGGGTACGTGAACGGAGGGGGCCTCAGACGCCCAGTGGGAACTGAGGGTGGGTCTGCAGCCGGGAGGGTGATCTGGGTCAGCTGTGGGCACTGCCAGGTGGGGCCCAGGGCTGCAGGCGTGGCTCAGCTTCCAGACAGGCTGGGCCTTCCCCAGGGAGGAGCTGGGTGGGTCCTAGTAACCGGACACGGTTAGAGGAGAGGAAATGGGAGTCTGTCCAGGCAGCACGGTTCCTAGAGCCAGCACTGGGAGCTTGGTCCTGTAGGCACAGCTGCTGGGAGGGGCTGTGTCAGCCACAAACCTGTGACTCATGGCAGTCAACCGTGATGTTCAGAGGTCGGAGAAAGCAGTTTCCTGCAACCTCTGTGGAGCTCGGGAGTAAGAAGCTGGAGGCCACAGATCTGCATCTAGACGATGTGTGTTACATGAATATTTTTTTTTTTTTGGCGGGTTTCACAGTAATGTTGCACTTATGCACAGACCTGGAAGGCTCTTTGGGATTTCTCAGAAGTCCAAGCACACACGTGTGTGTGTGTGTGTGTGTGTGTGTGTGTGTGTGTGTGTGATACCAGGAATTCACAGCGTGAATTGGGTTCACACATGGAACCCGAGGCCTTCCATGGGCAAGGCAAACCTTCTACCATTGAGCTCGGTCTCCAACCCTCAAATTCTCTCTTGACTGCCTTTAAGAGTTCTTACATGGAAGAGTGTGTGTGTAGCTGATACTTAGAGAATCATTGCTGTGACCAACACTATTTCGGGGAGAGGTCGTACTACTCCCAGCTCTGTGCTCTTAGGGTGGCTCTGGTGCTTAGGGGACTCTGCATTGCTAGGGATGGAGCTGGGAGCAACTGCATGCAAGGCGAGTGTCTTAACCCCTGTACTTTCTCCCTAACCCTGCAAACACTTTTTAAAATTATTATTAATTAGGGGGGAGTTGTTTGTTTTGAGGCCACACCCAGCTTTGCTCAGGGGTTACTCCTGGCTCTGAACTCAGGAATAGCTCTGGCGGTGGTGCTCAGGAGACCATATGGGATGCCAGTGATCAAACCCAGGTTGGCTGCCTGCAAGGCGAGCACCCTCCCCTTCCCTATCTTACCTCAGGAGTAAGCCCTGAACATTTCCAGGTGTGAGCCCCCCCCCAAAGAAATAAGTAATAGAGAGAAAAATGAATGGGTTGCAATGTCCACAAGCCACTGACCTCCACCCAAGGACCCCCAAGACCCTAGAACCATCTTCTCTCCATAGGATTCTGAAAACAGCGGGGACAGTGGATACCCCAGTGAGAAGCGGGGTGAGCTCGATGACCTGGAGCCCCGAGAACACGTAAGGAATTCCCCCCAAAATGAGCACAAAGTCTCCTGGCCCATCATGAGGGTGGGGGGGGATAGGGTGGTAGTGGGCTGGGGGTGTCATAAGCTAATTAGTAAAAAGGATCATTTCAGACTAAGATCAGTGCAGACCACGAGGCATAGCAGGGCAGTAACTGATGCTTTCACAGGTGTGGGGGATGAGACATGGGGCGGGAAGAGGTGGGTGCAGGTGAGGGGGGGGCTGGCACCCCTGGGTGCCGAGCACAAAGCCTGCTGGGCTATCAAGCCAGGTGCAGGTGTGGGTGGGAGGGCCCCACTCACAGGTGCATGTTCTGGACCCCCGGTGGGTCCCTAGGGGACAGGTTCCCAGGCATCCTCTCATCAGCGTCCTAGTGAGGGGACCCTAGGGGGCTCACCTACACCAAGATCAGCCTGAGCAGAGGCCGTCGGGGCGTGGCCTGTCATGTTGAATGTGGAGCAGCTAGGAGAACTCTGGGGAGGCCGAGGACTGGCCCAGGGTTCAAGCCAGCTCCATGTGCCCCCGCAGGGAGAGGGGGAGCAAGGCTGGCCGCACCCTGGGGGTCCTGGCTTCCACCCGCCTCCCCTCTGCTCTTGCTGGGCTGTCTCTGGGCGGAGATTCCAGCACTTGGGGGCCAGCGCGGCGGCTCTTGGGCTTCACTCTCCATCTCCCTCAGGGTCCCACAAATGGCCATCGGAGGTCCGAGTCAGACGAAGACAGCCTGGGCAGCTCAGGGCGGGTAAGCACCCCCCCACACGCACACCAGGGCCTGAGAAAACCATCACGGGACTCCGTCCTGCCTCCTGTTGTCCCCAATTTGTGGGCCAGGCTGGTGTCCTGGGGGCAGCCGAGGGCTGGTGTGGGGAGTCCAGCCCCACCTCTGGCCTCTCAGGCCTGTGGACTCAGCCGTGGGCCGCTCTTCCCCGCTCAGGTCAGCGTGGAGAAGTGGAACCTCCTCAACTCCTCCCGCCGGCACCTGCCCCGGCCCTCCGCTGTTGGCCTGGAGCTGCAGAGGCTGAGCGCTCTGGACCTGGAGAGGAAGATCGGGAAGTCCATTTTGGGGAAGGTGAGAGTGGGGTGCCCTGGACCAGAGCCTCCCCCACAAGCTCGCCCGGGCAGGCTGAGACCCCGCGGTGCGGTGGGGAGCCCAGCTGGGCAGCAGTCTCCCAGGCAGCCTGGCCAAGCCCACCGTATACCCGGCAGGTCCACCTGGCCTTGGTGCGCTACCACGAGGGTGGCCGCTTCTGCCCCAAGGACGAGCCGTGGGACCGCGAGGCGGCTGTGTTCCACCTGGAGCAGGCGGCCAACCTGGGCGAGCTGGAGGCCATCGTCGCCCTGGGCCTCATGTGTGCGCAGCTGCCGCACCATCTCCTGGCCGATGTCTCTCTGCAGGTGAGGGGCCAAGACCCCGGGGGCAGCGGGAAGTGGGGCCCGGCCAGCCTGTCCTGTTCCCTCCTAACTCTGGGGCCTGGGAGACATGCTCTGAGCCTCACTGAGGCCCTTGTAAGGGAGGGGAGCGAGAGGATCTTGGGGAGCAAGTTCCCCAGTTCATCAAACGTAGGAATGGAGAAGCCGCTGATACTGATGGGAACTGAGGACGGGGGGTCCTCCAGGCCAGTGCAGTTTCCTGATGGTTGATTCCAGCAGTGTCCTGAGGCAGGGCAAACAGCCTCCCAACACACACACTCACACACACACACACACATTCACATATACTCACACACACACATACATACATACACACATATACATGCACACACACATGCACACAAATACACATATACACACACACATAAACACATATACTCATACACACATACACATACACTCACACCTACAAAACATACACACACATACACATACACTCACACCTACACACACGTATGTACACACATACACACACATACACATATACACATACACACACACACACACACACACACACACACACACCCTGCGCTCGCTTCAGGGACCGTCCAAGGCAGTCAGCGCTAGGTCCCAGCAGGGAGGGGGAGGGGAGCAGAGCCATGCACAGGGTCCCTGAGGGCCGGAGCCCCCCCCTCCCCAGGACATGAGGCTGCAGGGGGACCAGAAAAGGTCTGGGGCCAGAGGATACGTGTGTGCTGGGTGGTTCTGCTTCTGCTCTTGCTCTAGTGCGTGGGCACAGCAGGGACAAGCTTGGCTGAGCAGGACTGGCCCGGCGTGCGGACGCCAGCATTTCCTTGGAGAGGGGAGAGGCCCTAGGTGTGCGTGTGGCCCCAGGGTGCCTGTTTCTGTCCTCTCCACTGTGTGGGCTGGGGTTGTGCGTATGCAGGTGGGCAAGGCTGGGCCTGGCATGGACATGGGACAGTGGTCTGTCCGGGGGGCCTGGCAGTGGTGCTGGGTGGGGGAAGCCACCTCTGACACAAAATAAGGTGCTCTGTGGATTTGGGGGGCTTCTTTTATTTTTTATTCTTTGGGTCATCACACCTGGTGATGCTCAGGGGTCATTCCTGGCTCTGCACTCAGGAATTAGGCCTGGCGGTAACTCAGCAGACCATATGGGATGCCGGGATCAAACCCAGTTTGGCCATGCACAAGGCAAATTCCCTCCCTGCTGTACTATCGCCCTGGCCCTCATTTATTTTTGTTTGCTTGTTTGTTTGGGGGCCACATCCGGCAGTGCTTAGGGTTTACTCCTCGCTCTGTGCTCAGGGATCATTCCTGCAGGTTCGAGGAAGCCTAGGGGGTGCTGGGGCAGATGCCCTCCCTGCTCTGGCCCCGGTACCCCACAGTCTTTTTGGTATTTAACTCTTGGCAATGCTGAGGCTTACCTGACTCAGGGGAGGCCTGTGCTCTGCCGCTGAGCCACAGCCCTGGCCAGTGTTTTGTCATCATTTTGAGGGCGATGGTGGGGGCGGGGGTGTCTCCCAAGCAGGCCTCAGGTGATGCTGATGATGCTCATCTGGCTGGGTTGCTCTGATGGTTTAGTGCTCAGGCCCAGGCATGGGGACCTGTGTCCAGCAGTGCTGGCAGACCCCCCCACCCCCCGGCAAACCTCACAGTGCATGGGTGGGGGGCTTCACAGAGCTGGGGGGTGAATCCAAAGGCTGAGAGCAGGCAAGGCAGACACTCAGCCCTTGGGGCGGTGACACCAGCCCTGCCCAGTGTTTGCCATGGCACTGGAAGGCTGAGATGGCCACAGGGGAGGTCACAAGACCTTTGGGTCTGTCTCCTAGTGAGTCGGGAAGTCTCGGAGCAGCTTTGACTGAGGCGTGTGGCCCTGTTTGGTCCTTGAAGGCGTCTCTCTGGCTCCTGGGGCTGCAGGATGGATCTGGGGGAGCAGAATGGAATTGAGGTGGGGGAGCGGCCTCCAGTGCAACCACCATGAAAAATAACATGCGGCCACCTTCAAAGACTAAACATAGACTAGGCACATGTGGCTTTGCAGTTCCATGGAGGATGGGACTCAGCCCTCCACGCCGGGACTCATACATGGCTGCTCGCAGCTGCACTGTCAAAGCTGCCCCAGAGTCCCATGCAGATGCGATAGGATTAATACAATGCGATCCGTTCATACAGTGGAATGATATTTGGCCATAAAATGAATGAAGCACTGAAGACCATTGAAAACTTTTTTTTATTGCATCACCGTGAGATACAGTTACAAAGCTTTCATGTTTGAGTTTCAGTCATACAATGATCGAACACCCATCCCTCCAACAATGCACTTTTTCCACCATCAGTGTCCCCTGTATTCCCCTCCTCCCCATCCCACTCCTCCCTCTGCCTCTATGGCAGACAATTTCCCCCATACTCTCTCTTTCTCTCTACTTTTGGGTATTAGACCACTGGAAACTTTATACTGGGGACCAGAGAGATAGTAGAGTGGGTAGGGCATTTGCTTTGCATACAGCTGACCCGAGTTTGATCCCTGGCATCTCATATGGTCCCCTGAGCTCATTAGGAGTGGTTCCTGGTCACAGAGCCAGAAGTAACCCTCCTGAGAATTGTTGGGTGTGACCAACAAATTTAAAAAAAGAAGTTTTATAGAAAAAAAAAAAGACTTTATACTGAGTGAGACGGCAGACCCTAGTAAGTTAACCGTGGTGTATTCGATATGCCAAAAACAGTAACAATAACAGGTCTCATTTACCTGACCTGAAAGAGCCTCCAATATGGCAGCATCAGGAAAGACGAGTAAGGAGAGGTTGCTAAAATCTCAGGGCTGGGACGGATGGAGACATTACTGGTGCCCACTCACGTAAATCGATGAACAACTGGATGACAGTGATACAGTGATATAGTGACACTGAGTAAAGAAAGCCAGTCCCAGAAACTCCCCTATCTGACTGCATCTGTTTAGGGAGATAATGCAGCAGACATCAGGTAGGGCATTTGCCTTGCAAGTGGCTGACCCGGCTTTGATCCCTGGTACCTTTAGGGTCCTCTGCGCTGTTACAGGAGTGATCCCTGAGCGAGGAGTAAGCCCTGAGCACTGCTGGGTGTGGCCCCAAAACAAAACATAAGATGAAAACAAAATATGGGTTCTGAAGAGAGGAAGAAGGGTAATTTGTGGCAACCCTCGAGGGCTGGCCTAATATTTTTCTCCCTCCCCACCCTGGGTTTGCATTGGCAGGAGACGGAAGAGAATAAAACCAAAGGCTTTGACTACTTACTGAAGGCGGCGGAGGCTGGCGACCGGCAGTCTATGATCCTGGTCGCACGCGCTTTCGACACGGGCGAGAACCTGGGCCCAGACAGGTACCTCAGCCTTGCACCTGAGCTGGGGTTCAGGCACGGAGCCCCCCATACTACTGATCACGGGCCAAGTATTTTACTCACTCCCACCACTGTTTCTTCACTGGGTGGAAGGCATTATGTTCTGAGCCCAAGAGAGAGTACAGCAGGGTGGGTGCTTTGTGTTGTGTGTTAGCAGACCTGGGTTCGATCGCTGGTACCCCATAGAGCTCCTCATGCCCTGCCAGGAGCGACCCCTGAGCAGAGGGCAGAAGTGATCCCTGGGCACTGCCAGGGGTGGCCCCAGAACAAAAATAAATAAGTGAAAATATGCTGCTTCATCTGCTGGAAAATGTCAGAATTATACTGATTTTGTGAGGGAATGCTTCTTGGCAGCTGTCTCATGATATGGGTTGGAGAGAGAGCACAGTGGGGAGGGCACTTGCCTTGCATGTGGCCGACCCGGGTTCAGATCCAACCTGGCAAAATGTGGGGCCAATGTGATTCCCCACTGCCAGAACTGAAAGAGACTCAGCCCTACGCCCCTTTTTATTTGTTTGGGGGAACCACATGACAGTGCTCAGGGCTTACTCCTGGCTCTGTGTTTTGAGGATCATGGATTTATACACGTATTTGCTCTTTGAGCCCACGTTCGAACACGTATCTTGTTTGCTTGTCTCTATGTCTCTTTGCCTGCTTTTCCACTCTGCTGGAGAAGCCCATGCTTGAACTCTTAAACATGTACTTTCTCTCCTTCCCTCCTCGACACCATTTTAAATAAGTTTCATTCAGGGACTGGAGCAATAGTACAGCGGGTGGGGCACTTGCCTTGCATCTGGCCAACCCAGGTTCCATCCTTGGCATCCCAAATGGTTCCCCAAGCACCTCCACGAGTGACTTCTGAGTGCAGAGCCAGGAGCAACCCCTGAACATTGCTTGGTGTGGCCCCCAAACAAAAAATTCTAAAAAGTTTCATTCAACAAAACTATCTTGCTTCACTTTAAAGAAGAACGAGTTTTGAACTACGTGAGCAATGTGGTGGCCTTTTGACCCTCCTTCTTCCTTCTGCTGGCCTTGTTGCCATGGTAACCCGGCTCTCTCCCTCCGCATCCTGTCAAGGTCCCGGGACTGGCGAGAAGCTCTTCATTGGTACCACACTGCCCTGGAGACCACCGACTGTGATGAAGGTGGCGAGTATGATGGGATGCAAGATGAGCCCCGGTACGCCCTGCTGGCCAGGGAGGCAGAAATGCTGTCTACTGGGGGCTGCGGGCTGCAGAAAGATGCCCAGAAATCAGGTATGATCTGGCAGACTTCCCCCTGCTGGGGCAACCCCTCCAGGGAGGGACCTTAGTCCTGTCCATGGGGAACTGTGACAAGATGCAGAGCTGATGGGACAGGAAAGCTAGTACGACAGAGAGTGCATGAGCCTTGCATGCACTGACCTGGGTTCGAACCCCAGGACCCCATATGTTCGCTAGAGCACTGCCACGAGTGATCCTTGAGCACAGAGTGAGGAGTAAGCCCAGAACACTGTTGTGCGTGGCTCCCCAGAACGAACAAAAGAGGGATGGAGAGCTGAGTTTCTATCAGTCCTGGCAACGGGGAGTCACACTGGCCCCATATTTTGCCAGGCTGGATACGTACAGGGTGCTGACTTGCTTTGGAGAAGTGGGTACAGGGGATGGGGGTGGAGCTGGTTTGCATTTCAATGGTTATATGTCTGGATGATATTGTCTTTTTAAAAATTTATTATTATTATTATTTTTTGCTTTTCGGGTCACACCCGGTGATGCTCAGGCGTTATGCCTGGCTCTGTACTCGGGAATCACTCCTGGCAGTGCTCGGGGGACCATATGGGATGCTGGGAATAGAACTCGGGTTGGCCGCGTGCAAGGCAAACGCCCTACCTGCTTGCACTATCACTCCAGCCCCCAGGATGATATTGTCTTATGATTTAAAAATCTGAGTTGAAGTTCTTTTTTTCCTTTTTTTTTTGTTGTCGGGGAATTCAGAACCACACCCAGAGGTGCTCAGGGTGCCAGAATTGAAAGGGAGAGAGGACCAGCCCCACCATGGTCAGCCATAAGTTATGCACGTGCCCTAACCCTTTTACTCTCTCACAGCTGGAGCTGAAATTTTCAGAGCAGAAATTTCACCATAAAAAAAAAAGTACAGGAATTGGAGTGATAGCACAGCGGGTAGGGAGTTTGCCTTGTACACGGCCAACCCGGGTTCGAATCCCAGCATCCCATATGGTCCCTCGGGCACCGCCAGGAGTGATTCCTGAGTCAGGGGCCAGGAGTAGTAACCCCTATGCAATGCTGGATGTGACCCAAAAAGAAAAAAAAAGTACAATTAGGGGCTAGAGCGATAGTAAAACAGGTAAGGTGCTTGCTTTGCATGCAGCCAATCTAGGTTCAATTCCTGACACTCCATGTGGTCCTCTGAGCTCTGCAAGAGTGATTTCTGAGTGCAGAGCCAGAAGTAACGCCTGAGCATTACCAAGTGTGACCTAGAACTAAAAATAATTAAAAAGCACAATTCAGTGTTCTCTTTGGCAGTGCTATTACTAAAATTGGAACACAGGGAAGATTTGCGTGATCCCTGCACAAAGGTGACATACAAATTCATCACAACTTCCATATTTTTCAGCAGCTGTAACTGGTCTATTTTTTTTTAACCTGGTCTATTTTTAAGCCTAGGAAGAACATAAGTGGCTATTTTTTTTCTAGCTGAAATAGCTGTATTGGCCACTCACTTTTTATTGCTGGCCTTCGGGTAGCACGCACTGTAGCACTGTCTTCCCGTTGTACATCAATTTGCTCGAGCAGTCTCCATTGTGAGACTTGTTGTTACTGTTTTTGGCATATCAAATACGCCACAGGGAGCTTGCCAGGCTCTGCCATGTGGGCGGGATACTCTCGGTAGCTTGCCGGGCTCTCCGAGAAGGACTGAAGAATCGAACCCAGGTCAGCCGCGTGCAAGGCAAACACCCTATCCACTGTGCTATCACTCCAGCCCTTTGGGTACTAAAAAAACCTGCCTTTTAAAAATAGCTGAACTAAAATTAAAAGAGTGTATTTCTTTTTTTTTTTTCATGTAGGAGTACTACTATTTATTCAGCCACTGATTAGCTGATTGCATTGGGCATGAACTCCACTTATATTTCGTTTTTAAAAACATAGAATATAAGGGGTTGCAGCCACATGCGCCAGAAATTTCTGTGGTACTCTCTTCTCAGAGCTTTGGTTTATAGTCTCTGGGTCTTGGCTGTTGATGAGATTACATGGTGCCAGGGGGCAGTTTGTGGGTGTGACTGTCAAGCTACTAGAAAACTGGGGAGCAGGGGGGAGGAGGCCCAGTCCTGATCCAAGTGGGCTTGGAGATCTCAGCCATGGGTCCCACATTACTTGGGTTTTTCTGCAGTTTCCCTCATGGGGTGAGGTTGTCTGAGTGTGTAGAGAGCAGCCTTGGGCATAACAGCGGTTGGGTTATGGAGGTTTTCGGCTGCTGGGGCTCTGCTTGGGGCGGGGAGGGAAATTCAACCTGCCCCCTCCAAGGTGCCCCGGTGAAGACAGCCTGGCACAGGGTCTGGGAATTCTGCCGAAGTTGGGAATCTTAGGGAAATCTCGGGGTACTGTTTCCCAAGGAGGGATGGGCCCCCCGGCTAGCCAGAGAAGTAGCTCACTTGTCCAAGCTCCTACTCGCTTCTTTTCAGGTGACTTGTACACGCAGGCAGCAGAGGCTGCGATGGAAGCCATGAAGGGTCGGCTGGCCAACCAGTACTACCAGAAGGCGGAGGAGGCCTGGGCCCAGATGGAGGAGTAACTGGCCAATAGAACCGCTGCCTGCTGGGCCCAAGTCGCAGGCAAGGAAGAGGGAAAACAAGAAAGACTGAGTTATCGACTGGGTTTGTGGTGGGAGACGGAATTTTTTTTTTCCTTTTTGGGTCACACCCGGTGATGCTCAGGGGTTACTCCTGGCTCTGCCCCTGGCGGTGCTCAGGGAACCATATGGGATGCCGGGATCGAACTCAGGTCGCTGTACTAACACTCCGGCCTCAGGACTGAATTTTTTAGTGTGCTTTATGTTGACTTTTGTATTTCTCTTCTTGTCTTTCTTTTTCTTCTCTTTATTTCTACTATTTTTTACTCTTGAAAACATCTTTGCTACCAGCAAAGACACTTCTGCTGTCCCCAAGGGCAGTATTTTGGGGAGCCATCTGAATTGAAAACCCAGGCTAAGGGAAGTCAACATATCATTCTGAACTTTTGTTTTCATGAGATCAAAAAAAAAGTGCTTTTCTTTTCTGGACAAAAAAAATCAGGGATTTTTCTCCCCACCTTTTCCTCCTGGACTTAAAATCTCGGGTTCACAGAATCCTGCTTCTTGAGTTGGGGGAACTTGTCTATGTACTCCCTCGCTCTCTATGTATCTATGTATTGTCGTAACTTGATGCAAAGCCAGTTTCCTGGAGCCCTGGGAAGGAAGGGTGCTTGGCGTCTTTCTCCATGGATTAGACAATACTCTGGGGAAGGGGCCGCACGCCGAATGTTCCCCAACCTTCCAACGTCACAGCTGCCAACTTCGGTGTTGAAGCAGCATCCTTCGGTGGACTTGGTTTCTGGATGCACAATGTCTCCTACCTCCGACCCTCCGGCAGCCGTGCACGAACGGATCCCATCCCCCCTTCCAAACGTGACTGTGTCTGAGGACAGTGGCGTGGCACGTTGGCTCCTGACCTCCAAGCGACGGCTCGGATTCCACAGTGACTGAAGGGACACTTGCTCAACAGTTCTGTTCTCTCAGCATCTGTTGTTCTCACAGAGTGCCTCGCCCCCAGCCCTGGCTCTCACAGCTTGAAGCCGGGCGGAATTTCTCATCCTCTGTAAGCAGGATGCCTGCAGCTGCTGGCCCAGGAGATTCAGCTAAACTGTTGTCAAATCAGAGGTCAAGAACAATCAGCGCTCATGCTCATTAATTCCAGGAGTTTCCCCCCAGGGTTATGGTTATTTGTTTTTAATGAGCTTTCCCTTGAAAGAAACTTTGATGGGATGTTATTGTATGATTTTAGGTGCTGTTTTAGTTTGCTGCAGCCACAGTCTGCCTTGATCACCCCCAGATTTGTACACCCCCCCAGACTGTCTGCTTTTTTTGGTTTTGGTCACAGCCAGTGATGTTCAGGGTTTGCACTGAGGAGTTCCTCCTGGCAGTGCTGGCAGACCATACAGGGGGTGCCAGAGATCGAACCCAGGGCATCCGCATGCAAGGCAAGTGCCTTATCCACTGACTATTGCTTTGCCCCCTAGCAGTCTTCACTTAAAAAAAAAAATTCAAAATGGTTCAAAGAAACGTTCTTATCCGGGCCTTCAGTGTTAAACCCTGTGGAGTTATGAACCTGTATAAACATTAGGCTCCAAAGTTCAGCATGTGCCCTGGGAAGAAAACCAAATTGACCCAAAACTACCCTTGAAAAATTCTTTAGATTGCCTGAATTGCAAAGTATCCCTTGAGATTTTTGTGGACACGTTACAGCTACTTTCCTTTAGGTGCTGGGGCCAATCAACTGTCCTTCTGGGCACCAATTCAAGTACGTGGCTGGCATGATGATCTCTGTGTGTTTGAAACCAGTGCAAATAGCCAAGTCACATATTGAATGTGAGTTAGGAACAACTCCATGGCCACAGTCCTTTCGAAGGACCAAGCCTCCTACAGTTCCTACCTTGGTGAGAGCTATTCAATTAGCCTCCTCTGTCTCTGTCTGTCTGTCTGTCTGTCTCTCTGTCTCTCTCTCTCTCTCTCTGAGACTTTATTATGCAAATCATTTGCTAGTGGATCATCTGATTTGTTATTTGTCAGTGTTGTGAATCTCACACAAGGATGCCAAACTTCTCTGCTCAGGTGTTTTTTGTTGTTGTTGTTTTGTTTTCTTCTGGGGCCACACTCAGCGATGCTCAGGGGCTACTTCTGGCTCTGCATTCAGGAATTACTCCTGGCAGTGCTCAAGGGATGCCTGGGATCAAACCCAGGCCGGGAGAGTGCAAAGCAAATGCACTCCCTGCTGGACTATTGCTCTGGCCCATGGGCAGACTTTTGTAAAGGGCTTGATTGTAAATATTTGAGGCTTTGTGGAACTCTTCAGCAGTGGCAGTGCGGAACCTGCTGCTGGAACAGTCCAGAGAGGAGTGTGGTTGGTGATCAAATAGAGTTTTGTTGCTGAATGAGGCTCAAAACCTAAAAATAAACTAGCAAGAAAGATAAATGCCCTACCTGGGCTCAAGTTTGCAGACCCCGCTGTCTAGTCCTTGAATGCGGTCTACTATATAAGGTCCTGAGACAAGAATGAGCTCCCAATCCCAGAGTGATTGTAGAGCGGGTTGGATGTTTGTCTTACACACTGCTGACCTGGGGTTTGGTCCCCAGTAGCCCATATGGTCCCTCCAGCATGAGTCTTTCTCCCCCCCACCCCCACCCCCCATCCCCCATACTGCTAGGAGTGATTTCTGAGTTCAGAGCCAGGAGTAACCCCTGAGCATTACTGGGTGTGACCCAAAAAGAAAAACAGAAAGAAAAAGATAAAGAATGATCTCCGAGTGACCTAAGAGATGAGCATCTCTCAGATGCTTAAAACAGGACTGAGTCAGCTTGTACACAAATGGAAAGGGAGCCCCTCACTCTCTGTGGATTCTGCCCACCAATGCTGCAATTCTGTCCACCCACAGGCCTTAATGTCCTTAGGGCGCCCTCTTGTCCAGGAGGCTTGGAGGCCTGCAAGGAGCTAAGCAAATGCTTCTTTCAGGACCCCCAAGAGTAAAGGGGGTTCAGGGTGTTGAGAGATTTCTCAATGAGCAGAACTAATTCTGTTGTCCAATTCGAGTTGTGAGCAGGGCACCTTCTTATCCCTCAAATGCCAGACACACCGAACAAACAAAAAAACATCCTAGGACATTCACCCAAGTGTAAGAAGCTGTCCCGGGGTCAGAAGACAGCAGAGAGGAGGTCATCTGTCAGAGATGGAGGGACCAGGGCTCTGCAGGTAGACATCCCCGCACTGCCAGTGAGTGACCTGCCTGGAGCCCCATATGGAAGACTGATGTTCTAGAAGATTCTGTGACAATGGTTTAAAGTTAAACTGGAGGAGGGGAGGGGTTAGGGCCTGGAGAGACAGTACAGCAGGGAAGACGCTTGCCTTGCATACAGCCGACCCAAGTTTGATCCCCAGCATCCCATATGGTCGCCTGAGCACTGCCATGAGTAATTCCTGATTGCTGAGCTAGAAGTAACCCCTGAGCATTGCCAGATGTGGCCCCCCAAAAAACAACCAAAAAGAACAAATAAATTGGAGGTTAGTGTTTCTTTCTGTTTAGCTACAGGCAAAGAAACACAAAGCAGTTTTCCCAGAGAAAAATAATTCCCTAACCAGTTCTCAGCCTTTTCCTGCCCCCTTCACACCTTGTTTCCTTTTTTTTTTAAATTTTTTTTTAATTCTATTGAATCACTGTGAGATAGTTACAAGCTTTCATGTTTGGGTTACAATCACACAATGATCAAACACCAGAAAGAGAGGGTCAGACATAGAAGAACCTTGTTTCCTTTCTGTCACATCTCTGTCCTACCTGTTGGCCCCAAGTCTCATGCTCTGCCCCCACAACTCTGCTCTATTTATGTCATTTCCACCCATGGCCCCCCTTGGGGTGTCCTGGGAGCCCACAGGAGGCCATAACGCTGCCCTAAACCTCCAGGGTTTTGGAAGGTACCTTCCCCCCAACTTACCTGAGGTCCCACAGGAATGTATCATCAGGTGCAGTCTGATGAGTCAAGCCAAGTTTAAACTTACACATTTAGCGACTTCTTTTTCCTTCTATCCCTGCACTTTGGTCTACACTCTCACACACCAACAAATGTTTACAGGAATTGATACAGCTTGGGAGAGGGAGAGAGGGATCAGATATGCATATTCTCACGTGGATCTGTACCTTTTCCCTGGGATTCTAGCCCTCGAGGCAACCGTTTAGTCCAGATAAATTAGGCACTGGGTGGACCCCAGAGAAGCACCCACCAATTTGCCTTACAGATTTATTTTTGCATATGTATAAGTTCCATTTGTCCTTCCAAATAAAATGATTTCTTTCTTTCTGCTCTCAAATTGAAATATCACATGGTAACAAACAAGGGACTTCGCTGGCTGCAGATCCAGGTTTAAGAAAAGTGGGCCCACGGGGGTCTAGCTTCTGATTTTTCAAGAGCTGCTAGAAATTGGATTTTTTAACGCAAGGCCTCCTAAGTTTTAATATTTTTTAAAATTTTAATTTTCTGAAAGTCTTTTAGACATGGTTCCTATACCATCCACCTGCTTTAAATAAAGTGCAAACCTCTTTTTTTTGGGGGGGAGGGTAAATTTGGGCCAATCCCTTGTAATTCTCAGGAATTACTCTCATTTCTGTGCTCAGGGATCCATCTTGGCTGTGACGGGGGAACAGACAGACTGCCCAGATTGAACCCAGGTCGGCCATGTGCAAGGCAAGCTCTGTACCTGCACTCTCCTCTCTCTCTTCTCTCTCTTCTGTCTCTCTCTTTCTCTCTCTTTCTCTTTTCTCTATCTTGCTCTCTCTTCTTTCTCTCTCTTGCACTGTCTCTCTGTCTTGATCTTACTGATAAAACAGAAAGGATAATCTTTGTGGTTAGAGGGGCCAGAGCGGTAGTCCAGCAGGGAGGGCATTATTTGCCTTGCACAAAGCCAACCAGGTTTGATCTCCAGCACCCCATGTGATGCCCCCAAGCACTGCCAGGAGTGATTCCTGAGCACAGGGCCAGGAGTAACCCCTGAGCATTGCTGGGTGTGACCCAAAAAGCAAAAATCAATCAATAAATAATCTTCATGGTTAGAATTGTCATCCAGTTCAAATAAGATAATG